AGGAGCGATTTCGTTAGTGACCTGGGGTCCGCACAGTGTTTATGCCGCTATCCGTATCCAACGGCGACCGATTCGATTGGGGAAGAAGACGCGCTGGAGCCGATGGAGGACCCTGAGCTGAGACACGACAGTCGGCAAAGTCGACGCCAGGGCATGTCGCGCCTCACCGCGTGTTCGAGTGTCGAACCGGAACGCGGATCAGCCCTGTCAACGTATCTGCGTCTCAACTTAAACGGCAAGGGATTGTGCGACATTCGTTAGTTTACAGTACACCAATCAGATACGCAACAGTAGCACCAGATGCGGCACAGCACATGACACCTGTTGGTCTTCATGCGATGGGCCTTGTCGCTCAACGTGTACTGCGGCTGCGGCTGCTGCAGCGGGACGCTTGTCCTCAAAGACCACCCCAAGAGGCAGGCAGATGTACCAGGAAAAGCATATACGCTTATTTCTGCCGGGCTACCCTGAAGCCATGTGCGCGCATAGTCGTTTATCTCTGAACACTAGGCGTAGACCATCGGTTTCCCGCCACTAAGGTTCAAAGCGCATTGACAAGGCCAATGCTCATACGAGTCTAATCGACAAGTATATCCAGCTGGATTCTAGCCCTTGTATGCTGGTCTAAGCATCTTCTTGACTGGATAGCCGTAATGGAATGTCAGACTAGTACAAGATCTGATGGTCATATCGCGGATATAGGCAACAGGCCCCAGGACGGGCGGAACGGACGAGTATAATATACGTTCTAGCCTCGGTCGCCCATGCCTGCCATCTGCGCGTCTTACTTGCAGCGGCACTGTGACGAATACCAAGCCGCATGGCGTTTCGCCAACATCTAGCGTCTATCAAGGGCTCTCCCGATCAGGTACGCATATTGCAGTATCGAGGACGGTCTTTTCGAAAAAGAGAGTGGGTTGACGGGACGGCTCGTGACCGGCGCAGCACCGGCTATTAGTGGAACACGTTCTCGCACAATCGTGCCTAACCGATCAGCACGACCGGCCCGAGACCTTTCCCATTCGCAGGGAGCAACTTCCCGCATGATAAAGCATGTTTGCATTCACTGTTTGTTGGCAAAGGCGTCACTTCGAGGCACAGCAGGCGAATACATTTCTGGACCCATATGCTTACATTCACTGTCCCACCAGGGTCGTTACTATGGTGCAAGGAACTACGAGGATCCAGGAAAGGAGGAACGAGAGGGGTGCCCTTCTGGGAAAGAGTCAACCCATTGAAACAGTCTCTTTCACTGCCGCCGCGAAAGGTATACCCGGCTACTTGGCTCCATAGTAGTGGGTGCGACCCGGGCCTGCGGAACAAAGAAACTCTTTACGCTCTACCATACACCGACGTTTCGATTTGCCGTGCTACTAGGGCGATGACGAAGATGGCTGCATAGCCACACGACCCGCGGCAAACTAGGTTTGGGAAGCGGGAGTGTACATACACCTGAGGCTTAGGTCGAAGAATGTATGACGGCCCGAATCACATCTCGTCGCGCTTTGTATCACCACTACGTGCAGCTATTCGACAAAATGGCTATAGTGAACAGGGTTCTTACTAAATAGTGCGATATGTGCATGCATGCTCTGCGCGCACTGATCGACACTGGTGGAAAGGATTGCACACACGAGCAGTAGCAACATGGCTGCATTACTCTTGGCCTTTCTCCGATGGTTCTCACCTACCAAAAGAGCCCCCACATTCGAAGTCCATAACCTGCGGTAAATTATGTCGGGGTGCGCAAGCAAAGGACTTCGCGCAAGAAAAAGCGGTGAAGCTATGCAATCGTGGACATGCAAGTTTGCCTTCTCTGCAAGCTGCACCGTCTGGCAGCTTCTTCAAATGCAGCGCCTGCGAATGTCGAATGCTTGAAGATGGCGCCTCAACCAGCCATGCTCACCGATCAAGTCATTGAAGCTGTCAATGCGTCGGAGGATTTGGCGGCCTTCTGGCCCGAGGCTGCGCCCTCGCCACATTGGGCAGTAAATGCATGGGAAGACGAATCATCCATGCACGCAACGTGATGCACTGCATGTAGAGCTTGAGGGGGTATCAGCAAACTTACGAACCATGATACTCTCAAGTTGCTCGTAGTACATGGCGAGATGGATTTGGAACCTTGCACACGCTGTCCGACCATGAGCATACGTCATCGCACTGCCCGAAGGTGGGCAAGGCCTCTCCGCAGCACCAACACGAGCGATAGCAGGCTTCGCGGATCGTATGGTTATGTCACATTCAAGACTTCCTGATATGCTGCGAGACTGTTCGTATATCCGCTATCGAGGTTATCGGCATGCAATTTCGCAAGCTATGATACACAGCCCAAGGGAAGACCTTCTTACACGACAGATGTATCAAGTAGTGTCAAGTGCGCTGGTCGTACCATCAGTCGACAATCAAGAAGCAACGTTACGCTAACTTTATTCTAACAACGTGGGATTACAGGGTGGTAGTACGAATGACCAACGATCCTGCGGAATCTATAAGCACGCATGTTTGTACTTTGACGCTGAGATGCAAGACCAAAAGTCTAAAGAACGCATGGAAACACTATCCGCAAACCCGAAAGAAGACCCCGATTGTAACGCCTGTGAAGGATCCAATGAAGAAAATTTTGGTGGCCGTCTTTTGGTTTACTCTTCTCTCTTCCGCTTCTTCGCCGGTCGTGTATTGAGTTCTGGGTGGCTTCGCCTGAGATGAACGAGCAATGCATCCTCTCGTCCAAATGTCGACGTGCATCCTGGCTGCCCGCAACGGATATGCCTTCGACTACTGGCTCCGACGCACGGGTTATGCTTTTCCATGTGGCGGTTCAAGTTCCGCTGCGCGTACTGGCCAGTAAAGGAGGTACCGTCTACGCATATTAGGCATCGTAGACTTGTCTTTTTGCTGTAGGCGAGTCAACAACGGGCCTTCAGGAGGTAAGGCGGGCTGCTTACTTAGCTGCTTTTGTTTTGGAACATCCATGCCCCTTGTCATGACCGGAAGCTGGAGACTCAACGTCGTCTAACGTCGAACTTGATCTACGCTCTAGGGGACTCGTTTCGAATACGCTTCCACTGTGCAGTTGGCTCACATCGTTCATCTGTGAGTGCCCAGAGCTCTGGTTGTCCTCTCGGTACGTGGGAAAGGCTGTGTGTGGTGATTGCCATGATTCCCCAGGCAGTACCTCACGATCTACAAAGGGAGTACTGTGAAGTTGCCTCAACGGCAGAGACGACGGATACGCATACTGCGCAGCTTCATATATGGACGGCGGCCAGAGGTTGAAAGCATACTCCACTGATGGCAACGGGTCGGGATGGTAGTCGTTTCCGAGTGTGTGCTCGTCATGAAAGCCTAGATCGTCGTACGTCTCGTCTCGGTCGTACTCATATGGACTACGCTGCATCTGCTTTAGTACGTTTACTACGACGATGAGGTTTACGTCGCTCTACTAACCGTGCCGTCAATGTTGGGACGTATTGTGTACGGTTGGTGTCTCCGTACAGGCATCATAGCCGCATCGTAGGCCTGGTCTACCTAGCAATCGGTTCACGCTCAGTAGGTAAGGTCAGATTACAAAGGATGAGGCGTGCGGTCGTGAGTACATGCGAGTCCCAGGAGCCGGGTAGCCAACAATTTTAACCAGTCACATCAGGACCGCTGAACTAACTGTTGAAAGGGCACAAGGAGCCGCTGTCTTCGAAAAGACACTTCGGACACGACAGCTCATGCCTGCCTTGTGTCGTGGACAACTCATTGCCATTGAAAATTTGAGGCGAGTGATGTGTCTGAAAGATCACTGTCGGAACAGCTACCGCCCAACCCAAGCTGACGGCAGTGGTTGCCTCGCTTTTGCGATTAGCTGGCGACTAGTTGCCTTCTCCTTCACCGGTCCTCCAACCTACGTGGACGAATGACCGTCTCTGCTGCGCATGGCGGGGGGGCGCTCATACCGGTATTCCGGACTCAAGAGGGCGGCCTCAGGAAGAAATGTCGACTTGTCTCGGCGCACGCTATGTGTTAGCAAGTCCAACGTGTCGCAAAACGATCTGATGTCGCCCTGAGGGGTATCCGGGATGACCCTGGATTGTCTGCCTACTCTTTTGCTTCGAGTCCACGTCGCACGAGTGCAGGTAGCGCTATAAGTCCTGCAAGGCATACTAGAGCGATCTAGGTCACTAGATCCATCGTTGTACTCTCAGTCAGCGAATAAGCATACTCAGAAGTCCGACACAGCCAATCCGAGCGATGGCGGGTAGCTCAACGCCTGACAGCTCCCCCAACCGTGGCTGAGTACCTAGGTAAAATGTAATCGACGAATTGTGGCGGCGGCATGACAGCACTTCGTTGCGCAAAGGAAACGTGCCCCGCAGGGCACAGCAGCAGCATGCGAGACGGGAGCTAAGGTGAACCAGAAAGCAAGACGATGCGCTATCTTGATATACGATTCGACCATGTTGGGCATCAGTTACAACTTGCCCTCGTCTCCCAAACAGTGAAGCGGACGATGCAAGTCAAAAACGTAAAGCCTTGCTATTCCTCCGCTGCAGCATCGAGGGCGACCATGAGGCCTGCTGCGTCACAGAAGACGAGGCGGAGTGGTCAGCCTGATGCGTGTATACCACTGCTGGCGTGCCACGTCTTTTGGAAGGCGGGAAATGAGAGCCTGACACGTAGGATACATCACGCACGATTTGGGTGCTTGGATGTTTAGAGTTCAAGGTGACTGACGTGGTGGTTCTGCCTGCTTGGCTTGTTGGCGTCAGTGACGATGGTGGCAGCATTGCGGCTGTGCATGGTGGTGGCGCTGATGCCTGCTCATAACAGACCCTGCAGGTTGTGGCGTAGATAGATACTTCTCTAGGCAGACACAAGGTATTTCGCAGAGACAAGTCAGTTCGACGCAAATTGGATACCCAGCGGATAAAATCTAGATGGTTTCATTACATACAGCTCTTCGTTAAACGTCGGCAATACGTACAACAACCCCATTAATCATCCGTAACTTACAACACAGCCCTCACTTCACCATTACTTCTTGCCTCAGCCCTCGTCTCCCTCTCAAAATCTTTCCACTTCTTCTCAACATCATCTTCACAAACATAGGTGATGAGCCAGCTACCCACACCACCCCATCTCCACGCCAGAGGGTCATCACCAACCTTTAGTCCCTTTTCTTCATATTGCTCCTTGCTTATCCTTCCCTTACCATTAAACTCACCAAAAGCGCGAAGCGTACTATCGCGTTCTTCTTGTTCAGGCCCATCGTGGACATGATAGAGATATTGCTGACGGTTACCACGGGAGACGACTCGTTCAGTGCGTTCGCGACGACAGCGTTCATAAACTGCTAGTGCACGCTTCTTCTCTGCCGTGGATTTGCTCTTGATCTTACCCAAGCATAGGCCGAGAACATGTCCATCCTCCAAAGACATACCAGCGCCCGATGCAAGATAGGGAAGAGTAGCATGTGCAGCGTCGCCGAGTATGGTGTATGCACCCGTCTCATGAGACCAAGTGGGATCGAGACCAGGTCGAATCATTAGCCGCCACTTGGCCACCTCCTGGCAGAGTGCGAGCAACTTGGGTATCCGTGGATCCCAGTCTTTGTACAGGGCACGCATCTCTTCAACGTTCCCAGCAAGTGTGTTCGCACCATCGGGCATATCATCGGGCACCAACAGCACCATGTTGAAGAGCTTGCCACCGCGGAGGACGTAGTTGACGGCGTGGGCATCTGGGCCTATCCAGTAGTTGACCTGCGGGTCTTCCACGAAGCCTCTGAGCTCAGGATCCTTCAGCATGTCCGCAGTATTGAGCAGTAGTCGGTAAGCCAGGTCGCCAGTGAGTTGTGGGGGGTCCTCGTGGCCGAGCAGTATCTCTCTGCATTTCGAGTTAATGCCGTCGGCGCCTACAACCAGATCGGCTTTGTGTCTTGTCCCGTCCTGACACACGGCGATGGCTATTGTGGCGTTGTTCTCCACATCGGCCTCGTACTCAACGTCTACGACACGCGCCTTTGTCGTGAGCTTCGCGCCAAGCTCCACCGCTCTTTCCAACAGTCCCATGTGCAGGTTCGCCCTGTGGAAGTCCCAGAAGGGTGTGCCGCATTCCTTCTCGTATTCATGAAAGTCCATCTCGCTTATCTTATTGCCTTTCCAACCGATCATGTTGCACAGCCGTGGCGAGGTAGCGTGTTTCGAGAGGTAGTCTTCTAGACCCCAGGCTATGAGGACGCGCGAGGAGTTGGGGAGACATTGTATGCCGGCGCCGATTTCGCCTATCTCTGAAGTACACTCGAGGATGTGTACGTTGTGACCGGCGAGGAGAATTGATATGGCAGCACCGAGACCGCCTAGCCCAGCGCCGACGATTATGACCTTGATATTCTCATTAGCTGTCGCTCTTCTAGGCTCATCGGCGAATCTTACGTCGAGCTTGCTGGACTCATCTCTATGCTGCTTCTGGATAATCTGGGGTTTAACACCAACCATGATGTCACAAGTTTGAAGCTCTCAACGAAAGTAAGTAACTTCAGTATTGGATAACCAAGGAAAAAGCAAGGTCGATGCCAGCGTGACAGTCGTATTGTCCATGAAGAGTGTCAACACTGCCAGTATACATTCACAACTCGAATCGTCATCACACATAGCCATGTTCACCCACCTATCGCGATTGATACGCGTGACAGCTAGTTGGCTGACAGTCACTGGACCGATGCAAGGAGGTCAAGTCCATGGCGCTTATCGAGCTAGCCCGGCATCCGAGCTCTGGTGCAGTGGAGGTCCAAGATGGGGGAACGCTCGATTGGTGGGTATGAAGGCATAATCGCGTCTACGGATGGTCGTTTGGTGCATTGATGCAAGAGTGGGGGCAACGTGATGGTTGGAAGATGCACAGGTGGCTGGCGTGAGGGGTATGCAGTAACGCGGTGGCCATAGCTCCAACCCGCGGAATCGTGTTCCGATCATTCCGAGATAGGCACGCGCGTCTCATTCACAGACATGGAGACGACTAATGTCACGGCTAATGAAGTTCTGCGCATCTCTTGAATTGTACAGCAATGGGACTATCTGGTCGCTATCTTGGCATAGGTCCATCGTAATCAAGCAAAGAGTACGCCTTCCCTTCCTTCTGCAACTTCAGGATTTCACCGCGTGGCGACGGCATCATCGCATTCTCGGGTACCGTGTTATTCTTCTTGAAGTCATCCGCCATCTGTTCCATGGTCACCCATTCCACGCCCTCGTGTTTGTTGATGTGCTCGATTATCCTACCACACCTGTCAGTGCACTTCTTCGTACTTCACTTGCTCACCGAACGCACCTTTCATGCATGAGCACAACATGTGGCCTTCCACTGACGTCCGGGTGGATTGTCATGGGGAAGACAAACTCGTCGTACTCCCGATAGAAGTAATCGAAGTGGTCCATCCATATTTGTTCCACGTCCCTCGGATTTACCCATCCATGGCTGTTCGCGCTCTTCTTCATGAACATCATTGGCGGTAGGTCGTCAATATACCAACTACCCGGTATCTCTACCAGACCGGTTTCCTTTCCCTTCGTGAGGGGTTTCATCCATTCAGTCGCCTTCTTGGTATAGTCGATCTTGGTCCACTCATCGCCCGTGCGTAGCCAGTAGCAGCGATGGTCTTCGTGCGACATGGAGTGGTCGTATTCGATGCCGTAGCTGAGCAGTAGCTCGGTGCCCTCTTTGGACGTCTCCCACCAGGGTGCGACGGAGCCTCGCGGAGGTTTGCCATTGCAAAAAGCAGTGAGTTGTTTGTAGGTTTTGTCAAGAACGTCGCGTTGTTGCTCGAAGGTCATGTCGGCAGGGTTCTCGTGCGAGTAGCCGTGTAGTCCGATCTCGTGTCCTGCATCTCGTACAGCAGCGCAGTCTTCGGGGAAGGTGTCTAGAGAGTGACCGGGCTACAAACGATCAGTTCAGCAATTGTGGCTTCGGAAACAGTCGAAGCTCACGATGAACCATGTTGCCTTGATTCCGTACTTGTCGAAAAGCTTCAGCAGGCGCTGAGTTCCTATTGTTCCAGCCCAGAGACCTGCATCATGTAAGCAAGAGCCCGACCTCCAATGCCACACAGTAAACATACCCCGACTGATGTCACTCGTGGAGTCTTCACCCCCATACGAGCCAAGCCAGCCAGCGACAGCCTAGGTGCGTCCAGTCAGTGATTGTGCCAAATGTTGCTGCGTACAGGAAGTCCTACGTCAATGTCAACCCCATAGCTCACGAGAACCTTCTTCTTTCCCATTGTGTTTGTCATCTCAGACGCTACAATGCTACTGTATGGAGAAATTGGCGCGATTATACTGACGGGCGATATTGGAGTGAGGTTTACTGCAAACGCGCAGCAAGTGCGACGGTCGCATAGCTCATGATAGCAGACGTAGCTACCCCGCTTATCCTTCAAACTGCCAATGCTGGGTAACCCGTCTGGTGGAGCTGATTGCTCGATTGGAAGGTGGGGTGTTGCTATGATTCATCGTACCTGCCGACGGCTGCTGCGGAGCTTATCAACGCGTGCTCGCGTGGACACGTGCATTAGCGTTCATCCTGGAAACTCGGCAACTAGTATGGAAAACGCAATCTTCAAGTTCAGAATTTTGCAGGCAGCACACCTGAGGCGGACATTTGGATTGCGATTTTGGACGAGTTACACGTGCAAGATACATTGGCGATAGCGGATCTCTATCCTAGGCCTGCTTCTTCAATATGCTGTCGATGACCGTGGCTGCACCCAAAGCTTTCTCCTCCTGTAATCTTCGGGCAACGATTTGAATACCTACCGGCATACCATCCATCGTGTCCAGATCGAAGGTCTTCCAGTTCCACTCATCTAGTGTATTCCTAGGCTCATACTCGCCCATCTTCTTCGCGGTCTCACTATCAAGCTCTTTGGAGACTTCACCAGCTGGCAGGACTACTGCCGGGTAATCGACGAAGTTGAAGACTTTGGTGTATCCCACCCATCTGCACTTCCGATGAGGTACCGCAGAGTGAGGCATGACAGGTGTGAGAAGGACATCAATCGGTTTTCCGGAGCTATCAGACTTTGTCGAGTTCCAGAGGTCGAGGTAGCGCTTCTGCAGCTTAAGCTTCTTATTGTTCAGCTGCCAGTACTCGTAGACGGAGATGGCCTTGCCCCTGTTGACGAGGGCTTCTACGTGTGGAATGAATGGCTCTCCACCCGCGGCAACGTCCCGCCTGATGTCTTCACCACCGTCTGCTGTGTAGTACTGATCCTGATCCTGGTCAGCTCAGAGTATAGAATTCGCTCCGCGCACTTACCATGATATCGATACATTCCTGATGGAGAGTGCCGGGAGTCCACGGCACTACCTCATGTCCAGCCTTCTGGAGCTTTACCGCGACTTCATCTAAAACGCGGGCGATGGGCGGATGGCATCTCACAACTCCATCGTCACGCATGATAGCAACTACTAGCGGTCGCGTACGCGCATCTTCGAAAGCTTCAGATCGCCATGGCACCGGGCAGCACTTTGGGTCTTGTTCCCATGGTTTTGCGTCAATGACTGCTTTTGTGACTGCGGTAAGCGAACCCATATTGCGTGTCATCGGCCCAATAACCGAGGGAACGTGTTCTTGACCATCAGTTGATACGGATACGCCCTGATACGGAAGGCGAGTGCTACTAGGCTTCAGTGCGTACAACCCGTTCATGTGTGAAGGTATTCGCACGCTGCCGCCAATGTCAGTACCCCAGCCAACCACAGTGCCTTGGAGCGATAGAAGTGTAGCCTCTCCACCGGTCGAGCCACCAGGGGTGAAGTCGACGTTCTTCGGATGAGTAGTGAGGCCCCATAACGGATTGTCGGTTTCGCACCACTGGAAGATATGAGTGTCATGCTACCATACGCGAAAGCTCATCGCAAGACGTACCATGATGCTCTGTGGCAGGTTGGACTTGGCGACGATGATCGCGCCCATCCCTTTCAAAAGCGACACAAGTACGCAGTCTTGCTGCGCAGGTTTGAAGACGCGCCCAACATACCCAAGCGTACTATCGTAGCCTTTGGCATCGAACTGATCCTTGAGAGTCATGGGCACCCCATGAAGGGGCCCTACCAATTGACCAGTCTTTTCGAACTGATCATCCAACGCTTTGGCTTGTCTGATCGCATCGTCAAAAAGGATCTCGGTAAGGCTACGTAGATCAGCAAGTATCTTTAGGCAGGATCATGGGTTAGGCACGTGCCAGTTTGTCTTGGATATATGTCAGCAAATTTGCGCGTTCACAGCTTGAGACACCGTTGTGGGGTCCTACTTGTTTGTGGGCGTCTATGGCGCTGGAAGATGTGGCGTGAGAATGGTACGATACAAAAGCAAGCCGCGAACCTCACCGGTTGATGTAGGCATTGAGCAGCAGCGCTGCCGTCACAGCACGCGACATTATGGCTTCTGGAATGAGTCGGACATCGTCGATGGCTGTCACATCTTGATTACTATGGGATCCGCCGGTTCCATTGGGCTGCTGGCGTCGTTAATGTGTGTCTTCGGCGCGTTCGAGCGTAAAGTACCTCGGCCAGCGGTGCTTGTGCATCAATGAATTTCTGAATAGCGTCGTCCCGTAGCTTGCGCTTCTCAGTAGCAGTTTGCAGCCACTGCGGTAACTCAGATGTCGTCATGTTGGGCGTAGTTGAACGGCTGGGAGGGAGCCCTGGAGAGGCGTGGAAGTCACTCATGAATTCATCAACGATGCCCGCATATCAGACGAATCGCACAACGTCAGCATGGTATAGATAACGGCAATTCCAGATTCATCGGCTTTTGATCTCCCTCGCAGGCGCGTAGTGTTGCTGGCGTTTGGGGCGCAGGTGGGGGAGATGATGCAGGGATGCCGAGGTGGACGGGCGCGCGCTCCCACCCGCCGGACTGAACGCGTCCACGGCGGAGTGCATGTGTCTGCTACTCCCCCTTGCCTCGCATCACCCCATCGCAGCAAACATTTTCGCGGTCAGCAGCATGTTGACGCACTCTTGCAGACGTCATGGCATTCTTCAATGGCATCAAAATGGGCAGATGCTTGCCGGAGAGTCAAACGATGCCCCTCCATCCTCCACACGTACATCCGGACCCCCATCTTTGCCCCTAGTGGCAGGCCATCCACGCAACCCATAGGCCTTATAGCATGGCTCCTTCATTATGGAACCTAATGAAGCGCTCAACGTCCAACAGCCCGCCGTCATCGGTTAGACAGAAGATGGCTCCTGGCATTACGGTGCCAGACTCCGAGTCTCGTTCGTCGGGCAACAGCTTGGAGGTTGCATCGCAGATCTCGTATACCAGAGACGATGACTACTCAAGCTTCATGAGCGATGTTATGGTTGTTGGTGCAGGACCAGCCGGTCTGATGCTTGCGTAGGTAATGCACGCCAGTTGAGCAAACACCATCTAACAGTGACAGTGACAACCTGGTACGATATGGTATCAAGACGCGCATCATCGACGA